GGGTTTACTGTTATATATTCTATCTTTACTATCTATATAGATTGTATATATATACAATGCATGTTGGGCTATATTATTTTAACCTTTTTTCCTTGGAGCAACAGACAGTAGATACCTGGTTAAAATCTACTCCAAACAATTTTATTTTTCCGCCCATTGGAATTTGTTATAGTAATTAATGAAAGGAATATATGTATTGCCTGTACAAACCTATTTCAAATTTTATTCCCAGGTTATTCTCTAGAGTAACTGTTAAGGGGATCCAGGCTTCAGAAAGTGAAAAAATTGCCAAAATTCACTTCTTTTTTTATAGTATTTTATTGTTATTTGGTTATTTATGTACAAGAAAATATAAGTTTTATAGGTATCCTACACGTTTTTCATAACAAAAAATATATTTTCCCCAGATACTACATGCGCGCGTCTTAGTATTTTCTAGGACTTCGATCGCGATTCCCCGAAAGTTGTGGTTTTTAGTGTTTTGTAACAGAAAAGTTGATATATCTCAGCCAATTTTTGTCCTATCATGTTGAAATTTTTACCAGATGTTCTTTATAGTATTTACAAACTTTTGGGTATAATTATTAATATAAGTCAAATAGTTAAAATAATAAAAAAAATTTTATTTGAAATATAGTATAAGAATTTTTTTGTTTTTCAACCTTTATAAAATAAAAACTAATTATCCTACAAACAAAGTAATACCCAGGATTTCAGTAAGTGTACATAGCTACAAAAAGACACCTAGTTGAACAAAATTGATCAACTATTTTATGAGTTATATCAAAAATAAAAATGTGTTACGTTATGATACATAAAAATACATAAAATGGTACTGTGGTACATAGAGTGGCTACAACAAATAAAATAACAGTTTTTAGGCCCATTTGATATAATAAATATCTTAAAAAAATGATAAACACAAAAAATTTAAAAAATGTATTTTCTGAAGCCTGGATCCCCTTAAGGTTATTCCACTCGATAAAATCATAGATTAAACACTACAATTACGTGTCAAATTAAATGTTATGAAATTTAAAACAAAAGTTTTGAATAAATTTTCAACATATGTTTTGAAATAAAAACAAAACAGAAGTTTTCTAACTAATCTTGCATCGTTGATTATTTAGTCAATGGGGCTATTTCATGTTAAACATTCCTTCAGCACAACAATAACCTACTAATGTGAAGAAATGTAATCAAAGTAAAATAATTTTGTAAACTTCGTGAACATATGTTTAAAGAAACCAAATCTTAAATGTTTCAGCCATTCTACTTCCATTTACTTTGATTTTAACCATCTCCCACGATTCTACTAAATTTCATGCGCTTGGCTAATTTACATACAAATACACAAATTTGCAAATTGCACAGTAAAATTAATTTCAACATTCTAAGACATAACGACAAAAGTCTCAATTGTAGGTAACGTCATCCCTGGTTTTATATAGTATACAGTACATTGCAGAATTTACTGGCAAATGAGTTAAATCCAAATGTAATTTTGCTTACTGGCTTAGATGAATCTCGATCAGCTGTATACTATTGTATACTGTATAGTATTGAGGTAAACAAAAATCAACAGACAAATGGCTTCTAATGCTATTCTTATGGAGAACATTTTACGTTATATTATTGACTAAGTCAAAGGTTTTATCTAATTTTGTGTTAAAATTTGGGGAATTTCACTATTTTTCCGGGATCGAGACCTTTAATTTGAACCCTCTCCCGTCGTTCTACGACTACCCAGTCGCCCACCATTTTGACGCAAAGAATCGGCTTTCGTAATTAATATATAGATAGATATTTAATTTCCACAAAATCAGTTAATGTAACCAATGCGTTTCGTTGAATTGAAAAACAAAGAACACAATTAAATTAAACAGCTGATGTAAACAATATTATGTTCTTCGAAAGGATAACATGGGAACTTAAAAAGCCACTGTGGCAGAGGCCAAGGGACTTTTTCAAAAAATTTAGGCCAGTTTGCAAATCTACGCAACACGCTCTTTCCAATGAGACGTCAGTGGATAAAATCGGTTAAGAAATGGTGGAGGATTCAACCGACAAACTTCGTGTTCGCGTATTAATTATATAGATTTCATATGTGCATGAAATGTTGGTGTGAAACCAACTTGTATAACTTTAAGCTAAATGGTTTAAGTTACCTGGCTTCGTCAAGTGATCCTTCTTCAGTATCACACTACTATAGTTTCGGACTTGAAAATAAGTCCATCTTCAGAAAACGTCAATAGGTCATTGAATTGAATTGAATTGAATTGAATTGAAAATAACTTTATTCATAAATCATACAAGTATGTACATTGAATGGCGTCAAAATTCTTAAAACTACTTAAACTTACAACATAATATCAGCTGTACAGTTCATCAAAATTATACAGTACTTTTTCTGTTAAGTATATTTTAAGCTGTGATTTAAATTTTTTACTATCATCAATTTTCCTCAACCCCTCTGGAAGCCCTTCCAAAAATTTTCTTCCAGCACATGACGGTTTTTTGTTATAAAATTCCAATCTATGGGCATCAACAGCAATTTTGTTTCTATGCCGGGTGCCATATTCGTGATTATCCCCTAGTTTAGGTAACATACTTTCAGACAAAAGATTTTTAGTCAAAAGAACGGTATGGAAAACATAAATGCCGTACACAGTCATTATACCCATGGCTAAGAAATGATCACGTACGGAAACATCCCAGTTTAAATTCAACATTAGTCTTAATGCTCTTTTCTGCAAAATTAAAATTCTGTCCAAATTTTTCTTTGATATTCCACCATAAACACTTATGCCAAATGATATTGCGGATTCAATGAAAGCAAAATAAAGCTTTTTCAAAATATCTGTTGAACAAAATTTAGACATTCTATAAATTGCATAAATTCCAGATGTGATTTTGCTGACAACATGGTCAACATGGGAGTTCCATGAAAGATTTTCATCAACTACTAAGCCCAAAAATTTAGTTGTAGTAACTTGATTAAGATTAGAATTTTTAAAATTAATCACTGGATCAATTGGACTTTTTTGTTTACCTGTTGAAAATACCATAAAGTTGGTTTTACTGGAATTTAAAAGTAATTGATGAAACCAATTACCAAATTGGTTAGATGACCTATTGACGTTTTTGTTAACCTGAAGATGGACTTCCAGAGGCTACCTCACCATGTATACCTTTGAAGTAGAGGCTATATTTATTCCCAAAAGGTATCAAACGCCAGATCCTGATCAAATCTTTTCTATCACTTTAAAGTTTGTTTCGTGTTTTTAGTCTTCACGTACAGAGACTTAAATCTTTGTATTAAATTGTTAGCAATCATAAATCGTGGACAGAATCTTCCACAAAAGATAAATACAATATAGTTCAACACCCTAGAACTCCTTAAAAAAAAATATGTTTTGTTAAGGCTTCGTCATAATGTTAAAAATACTCAATACAACAAATTCATTAATTTTACATATGTAAACGTTGATAGTTGTGTGCGTATTGTATTTTAATATATCTTCTGTATACATATAGTCCTCTATATTTTCTGTGTACACAAATGCTTCTGTATACACGTTTTTGCAACTCACAGTAACTGAGAAATATTCTAAACTGGTGAACTGTTTTTATAAATTTTTGCCATTATTTCTCAACCCGTGCTTAAAAAATTAGTGACTCGTGGATAAATCCAGATACGAAATTTAATCTAAATCGGACCACAGGTTTTGTCTGTAGCTCTGTATCTGGATCATACAAGTGTGTATTATATAACCTGATATTAGTCAAAATATGTTTTATTCTATAACGTTTAATTTAATTAAACATAAAAGTCATGCTCCCTCCATTTTTAAAGTATTCAGTCCAAAAATGTAATAAATTTACTTGTGCGTACATATTTATTTCGTTTTAATAAATAATTGAGGTGATGCAATACACTTATGTAGGCAGTCGCAGCAGTCGAATCCGGGCATAGCGCCTAAAGTTTCACGAACGCAAACCGCGCAACGAGTAGCTAAATGAGCCGTAGAGTAAGTGAGCCATCTAATATTTTGAAGAGGGTTCACTTACTCTACGGATCATAGTGCCAATGAACTGTAGAGTAAGTGAGCCATCTAATATTTTTCTGCAGGCTCGTATAGTATACGAGCCTATTCCTATAATTTATATTATTCATTATTTTGGCTCGTATACTATACGAGCCGATTCCTAAATTATCAAATAATTCGTAAGCTTGGCTCATAGTCACTATGATCTGTAGAGTAAGCGAACCTTCCTACTGTATTTTTAAATATAATACACGAGGCTCATAGGCACAATGATTCGTAGAGTAAGTGAACCCTCTTCATTTATTTTTTATTTTCGATAGGCTCGTATAGTATACGAGCCTGTAGTGCAAGTGAACCTTCAATATTATTTAAAAAGCTCGTATAGTCTATGATCTGTAGAGTAAGTGAGCTGTCCCCGATGGCAATCCTAGATTGACTACGCAGATGACTTTTTGTATCTTAACAACTGGAGAACACCTCCCATAATATTGTAAGCTATTTTGGGATTATTTGACACAATAAGACGAGGTACCTGGAGGTAAACAGACAGCTGTACCTCCAAAAACTGATAAGTTACAAAGTTACAGTCCTGCAACTGACCACATGTTCAACATCTCAATAGGGTTACATGGTTTAATACACCTCAACGTACACATTTTAAACCGCACACAGAATATCTTGACCTACCTTTCTCCAAGGCATGAGTGGAGTAACGAAAATAAGATATCAGACCCCTTATAACCTGTTATATTTTAAAGGGCAAACAATAATTGTGATTCAGAATTTTCAATTGAAGAATATTCGTGCATGGTTTCCTTACTAGTGTTAAATCATGATCAAATTCAATCTGCAGATGTGCCAATTACTATAATGACTAGAATACCTATAATGATTAGTTACTAGAATTACTATAATGATTAGATAGTTGAGGAATTGACTATCAAACCTTACCCATGGTATAGCTGATGGTGTAGAGGAACAAAGTGGTGACTGGAAGCCAACTTATGGGAGCAACGTCAATCTCACTTGCCTTGAGGAAGAAGTACAAGCCAAGGAGACCCTGGGGGAAAATATCATTCCATAAAATAATTAATCACAAAATAATGATTCATTTTATGTAACAGCTTGTCTCTGAGAGTGTAAATAAATAGTTTCTTGAAGGACTATTATTTAGTAAAATGTTGTACAGTATTAAGTCTGTCTTTTTATCATGTGTTTAAATATGTTTGTTGTCAGATGTTTTTGTAAACATTAGTTTAGTTTGAAAATAGAGTTTGTTCAAGCAAGATGTGTGAATAATATTCTTGTATAAGAAATAGAACATGGTGGCAGCTTAGTGGATTTTTTATCGAACAAAGTCTAAAACCACGCATGATGTCAAGTAAGGGCAGAAAAAAACTAAATACTCGTAGGCAAAGGTATGAGGACAATGAGGAGGATGCCCAAAGTGAATTCAACTACATGTCAGAAAGGGATACTAGAAAGACTGAAGGTGAGTCACTAGGTTTTGCATTGGGACAGACAAACCGAGAAAATAATGCAGTAATGTGTACTCCTACTCCTATGATAAATCTGACGTTACCAACTCCAGATACCTTCTCTTTTACTCCGAATGAGTGGCACTCCTGGAGGAATCGCTTTCAAAGGTACAGACGGGGGTGCGGTCTAGATAGCACTTCCGACGCTCGGCAAATCGATGTACTTTTGTTTACAATGGGTAGTAGGAGTGAAGATATTTTCGATTCGTTTTCACCAAAACCGAATACTTATGACGAGGCTCTTCGGGCCTTTGATGCATACTTTGTGCCAAGACGAAATATCATTTATGAGAGAACAAAATTTCTGAGACACAAGCAAGGGAGTGATCCATCTGAAAAATTCATAACAGATTTGCATGGTCTTGCAAAAACGTGTGCATGGGGTGAACTGAACGATGAGATGGTGCTTCTGGTCCTCATTATTGGTATGAAAGATGAGGCTCTAAGTGATAGACTCCAGCTGGACTCTCAATTGACTCTGGAGAAGGCGATTAATACCTTGCGCCAACACGAGGAGCTAGAACGCCAAAAACGTGAGCTCGCCAATACTAATGTTTTTATGGTGAATCAAACGTCAATACAAGTCGGTAAAACAAATCTGTCTGAAAGAGCTGGTGAACAGAAATTCACCGAGGATGCTATGAGAAAAAAGTGCAGGAAATGTGGTTATAACTGGCACGGATCACTGGCCGAATGCCCTGCTAGGAAAGCCAAATGTGACAAATGTTCCGAGATTGGACATTTTTTTCGATGTTGTCCCTCCCGCGAAAAGTGGATGAGAAAAAACAAAAACGTTGTTAAGGAAATCGAACAGCAAGATTCAGACAGTGGTTATCAACAGGTTCCTGAGATTTTCATAGGGAATATAGACCGCAGTGACAAAGCCTGGGTCCAGGAGGTAAAAGCAAGCTGTGGAAACCAAGATTTCGGTCTTATAAAATTTAAACTTGACACAGCAGCTGATGTAACCATGATTCCAGTAGGAGTTCTTGGTGATTTTATTAAGACTCTGCCTCTAGGAAAGTGCAAATCCCCTGTGTTTAGCGCAAAGAAGAAAGAACGAATCAATATTTTAGGAACTTTAAGGCTAAAGCTTGAACATAAGGGTGTATCAGTTTATGATCTTGCGTATATTTCTGAGGAGATCACTGTTCCACTTCTTAGCAGACGTTCCTGTGAAGAGCTGAATCTGGTGAGGAGAATTTTTTCTGTAGATTCACATGATATTGACTGGGCTACTAAGTATCCTAATTTATTTCAAGGGCTGGGAAATATGAAAGGAGAGTACAAGATTGAAATGAAGGAGAATGCAGTTCCTTACGCTATATCCACCCCCAGGGTTGTACCAATACCTTTAAAAACCAAGGTGAAAGAGCAGTTAGACGATATGCTTGAGAAAGGAGTGATTGTTCCAGTTGAACACGCGACTGATTGGTGCGCACCAATGGTAGTTTGCGCAAAAAAGGGAGGTGGGGTTAGGATCTGCGTAGACCTATCCAAACTCAACAACAGTGTGAAACGTCGGTTTTATCCTATCCCAAAGATCGAACTTTCATTGGCCGAGATCGCGGGAGCCAAGTACTTCAGCAAGATCGATGCGAATTCCGGGTTCTGGCAACTGAACCTTGCAGAGGAGTCACAAGATTACACAACATTTATCACCCCTTTTGGGAGGTATAAATTCCGTAAGTTACCTTTTGGAATTACGTCCGCTCCTGAAGAGTTTCAGCGCCGCATGTCAAAAGCTTTAGAAGGGGCAAAGAACTGTTTAGTGCACATTGACGACTGTCTGATATGGGGAAGAACGAAAGAAGAACACGACGAGTGTCTTAGGGCCGTTCTAGAGAGAGTGCAAGCTAATGGAATCACCTTGAATAAGCAGAAGTCGGAGTTCTGCAAGAAGACTGTGACATTTCTGGGGTTTGTGCTGTCTAAGGACGGAATCAAGCCTGATCCAAGCAAGGTACAAGCGATTGTGGACTTACCAGCTCCAAGAAACGCTAATGAAGTACAAAGATTCATGGGCATGATCACTTTTCTGGCAAAATTTATTCCAAACCGCAGTGAGATTTTGGAGCCAATTACGAGCTTGTTAAAGACTAAAAACGATTTCCTTTGGGGACCAGCTCAAGAAAACGCTTTTGTCACAGTAAAACAGATTTTATCATCAGAGCCATGTTTGACTGTTTACGATCCGCAAAAACCCTCGATTCTTTCTTGCGATGCTTCAAAAAAAGGTCTTGGAGCGGTTTTACTTCAAGTTGAAGGAGAAAACAAGAAACCTGTGGCATATATATCTCGGACTCTAACGCCTGCTGAAGAAAACTACAGTAACATTGAGAGAGAAGCGCTTGCGTGCACATGGGCAAGTGACCGTTTGAAATGTTTCCTGATGGGTAAAATGTACACAATTGAGACCGACCACAAACCGCTTGTCTCAATTTTCAAAACACATAATTTGGACGAGCTCTCACCGAGGCTACAGCGGTTCCGAATGCGTATGATGAGATACGATTATCGCATGACCTGGACCCCAGGAAAAGACCTTGCCATAGCAGATCTACTATCAAGAAGTCCTATTCCGGCTGACGAAGATGGCGAATTGACCGAAGAAGTGGAAGCCTTCGTCCACGAAATCAGTCTGATTAGTATAAACACTACAGATGAAAATGTGACAAAGGTACTTCACTCACAAATGAGAGATCTAATCTGTGCACAACTTAAGTTACAAATTTTAGACGAATGGCCTGTAAAATCAAGTTTACCTAATGAGATTCAAGAGTACTTTAATGTGAAAGACGAGTTAAGTTGTATTGATGGGCTATTGCTTCGAGGAACTCGGATGATAATACCTCAAGAACTACGAGCGGAAATGCTCGAGAGGCTTCACAGTGGACACTTGGGAATCACAAAAACAAGGAAACGTGCTTTGGGAACCATGTGGTGGCCTGGAATTTCTCAAGAAATAGAAAGGAAAATCAAATCGTGTCCAGTGTGTATTCAGAACTCAACTAATCACAGTGAACCATTGATTCCGAGAACTGTCCCGGATTACCCGTGGCAAAATGTGTCTGTTGACTTGTTCAAACACGAAGACAAGTGGTATATGGTTATCGTGGATCACTACTCAAGATACTTTGAAGTCGAGGAAATGCATCGAATGAGGGCTTCAGATGTGATTCGGGTTTGCAAAACCACATTTTCACGTTTTGGAATTCCTCAACGTGTTTATTCAGATAGTGGGACACAATTTCACCATATTGACTCAAGTGAATTTAAATTGTTTGCAAAGGAGTGGGGGTTCTCCACATTCAGAAGTAGTCCCCACCACCATCAGGGAAATGGGGCAGCTGAAGCAGCTGTGAAAGTAGCAAAAGGGCTAATGAAGAAAAACAAGGATAAATTTGAACTTGCCCTACTTTCTTACCGGACCTCACCTCTTGAAACCGGCTTTTCCCCATCTGAACTTATGTTTGGAAGGAAATTAAGAGACAATCTTCCATCTACTTTGGTTGGAAATCCTGTGGAAAATAAGAATTTTCTTGAGAGGGAGAATAAGTACCAGAATAAGTACAAGATACAATTTGATAAACGACATGGAGCGAGTGGTTTAAGTGAATTAGAAGTTGGAAGCATGGTATGGATCACAGATCTACGTCGACACGGTAAGGTAGTCAGGAAATTGAACGAACCACGTTCCTACCTTGTGGAAACTGACAAGAGAACTATTCGCCGAAACAGGAAGTTCTTAGTTCCTGCACCGTACTACGGAGGAGATGGAATTCTTTCAAACAGTTCAACCATGGTCCTTAATCGTCCATGCAACTCACGTGATCGTCCAGGAGCTGGCACAGTAACCCGTTACGGAAGGTCCATTAAGAAACCGAGGCGGTACTGAGGTTCATAAAGATGTGGACATCTTGAAGCGGGATGTTGTATTAAGTCTGTCTTTTTATCATGTGTTTAAATATGTTTGTTGTCAGATGTTTTTGTAAACATTAGTTTAGTTTGAAAATAGAGTTTGTTCAAGCAAGATGTGTGAATAATATTCTTGTATAAGAAATAGAACATAAAATAATAGTCCTTCCATTACTACAGTATTCTAAACAATGTGAATGTGATTGATCTAATTAGGAACGACTCAGTGATTTACGTTTACAAAACTCTAGTTTTTCAGTTAAGTAGATAAATGATTGAAGATGAACAATTGAGAGAAATAAATGTTTTTGGGGTAGGTAGTTAGGTCACATATGGACGACGAAAAACTGCCCACAAACTCCTGTGTATACCAATTCACCCAACACATCACCGAATTCACGCTGCATTGATAAAGTATATATGCTATTGGAACACTGTCATGCAGTAGTAAGTAGCAACAAAAATTCCTGCTACTGTTCAGCGAACGCTTGTGCCACAGCTCAATTAGACATAATTGCTCAGAGCAGTTTGTAAAAATGATGAATTGCTAAGTACTATAGGGATAAGGGATAGGTATGCAAATAAAATCTATGAAGACAATCAAATGTAGGCCTATTCGTGCAATAAAGGCTCAATGTAGAATGCTGCAGTGGTACTTACAACAAATATTGCAGACCCAAGGGCAGATACAATCATTGGGAAGATGAAGCCCCAGCGTTTGACAAAGCGTGGGACTAGAGTAGCAGAAAACATCATAGTAGAACCAACCAAGATGGCAGACTGGCTAGCCATAGCTGTAGACACTCCTGTCTCTTGGAAAATTGGCTCCGTGTACCTAGTGAGTCATAACTTGTATGATATTGCAATATTATGATTGATGGTGAATATATATGTTTATTTTGCGATAGATTTTTTCCTATGTACCATACAAACTGACAACCCATTATGTTAGCAATACCTTTTTTTAGTTATCAATTTAAAAATTAAAAAGTTAAACATCATGAACACATGAGCCATAAAGAGATTAGCCTAATATCAAATTATCACGATTTGTCAAATTAATTTTATCAGAACTATTAAAACTACTAACTTCAATTTATAGTTGTCTAAGTGGGTAGCTGGTTGGTTTTTGGGCTTGACTTTAAATTTAAAGGTTGCTAAATGGGATTGATTCTTAACAGAATCAGCTCTTGCAAAAGTTCCTATTTTGTCATAAGAAATTGGTTAGTTTTACATTGGCTATAAATGTACAAAATTACACAAAGATTTCAACATTTTACTTACATGATGATTACTGTGACTCCGCTAAGTTGCTGGAAAGCCAGAAGTCCCCCACTTAGGTAAAGAGCTCTAATATTGCCTCTAGTGCCACACAAATCTTTGAATGACTTTAGTACACTGGAGGATGACTTGTTTATATATTCCTGTAAAATAAATATTAGCATCACTAAAACTAATAACAAAGCAAATCAACTTATTTTGATAAACATTTTTTCAAGAAATGTAAATTTATTCTATAATCTTTCAAATATAATAAAATGTTATACATATACACATATAAACATATACAAAGTGTTGTGGTTGTAAATTCTAACCTCTATATCTCTAACCACACATTTACTAAACCCTCGTATTTCAATTTGAGAGTCTTGATCATTTTTGTTTGAGTCCCTCTCATACAAAATAAAATTCCCCTCATGGTCAACAAAATAAGACAAAAACCTCACTTGAATGGAGTTGACTTCTTTCTCAGCCCCTAGTCGAGACAACCCTCTTCGCAACCGTAACACTGTGTCTACAGCTCTGTGGTAGTGTCCTCTACTGATGCTGTAGTGAGGGGACTCTGCCAGCCAGGGAGACAACATGAGACACACCAGGGTAGACCCGGCCCCCACCATGGTCAGGGTTCGGTAGGAGGTGTAAGGTCCGATCACGTACACGGACACGTAGCCCACACTCCTGGAGAACAACGGCCAAGAGTTGAGGGAGCCTCGGATTTTGTCCTGTAGAAGAACGACACTAAGTGTGGATCAATGTTCTCTCCTCAAAACTTCTCATTGAACTCTCAAAATTAGAGCTTTCTAATGTAAAATTTTCTGAAAACTTTGGTGTGTTTCATCCCCATTGGCCTTTATATGGGTTTTGTAGGGGTCTAGAATTATCCCGGTTTTGAATCAAACCACCAACCTTCAAATTTTAAAGCAATCACTATAACACTCAGTGACCAAGCGGTTAACACACCTTTTTAGCTAAGATGTTGTCAACTATGTGTAAAAGTAGTAAGTGGGATGACTTGGAAAATGTTGCAATTTCTTCAAAAGATATTGTTTACTCCTAAAATCTAATTCAATCAATCAATCAATTATTGAGATGGGGACGCCACCTAGGTGCGTATTTTAATCCAAATATGAGTGAAGGATGAGTGTAGAATGGTGTGTGATGACCTGTGTAGCTTTGTTACTGACTAAGATCAGCGGTTTCATTAGTCAGGATCATTTATTTAAAGCCCAATGATCAGGAACAGCTGGGTCCAGTTTCGAACCATCAAAAAGCTACTAGCTTTTCTCAGGATCGAACCGGCGACCTTTTGATTGCTAGGCGAGCACTATAACCACTCAGCTACCCAGCCAGTCCATTAATTGAAAGTCTTACAGATGTAGAGTATCAATTCAGAAAAAATGTACACCCGATAAAGTTTGTAAAATCTATGCGATGAAAGGATTTATATTGTCTTTCTAATGAAAACAAGATCATAATTAGGTCACTGGTATTATAAACTATGTTGATTTAATGCTATGCACAGAGTATTTCAAAGTCAGTGCTGCTACTTACATCAGCTATCTCAGCAGTGTAAATAGGAGCGATGGAGTAAATAACTCCTACAGCGACACCAGCAACCACTCTGGCGATGTAGATACCCCAAAGGGCGTACTGGGGCTGTATGAGGGCGAGGGACGGGGCGGCCCACAGTAGACCCCAGGAGGCGAGGATGACACAGCTGCAGAGGATCAGGGTGGCTCGTCGCCCCAAGGTGTCTGCCAGGGGTCGTGTACAGAACGCCCCTAGGACACCTCCCGCCACGAACAGGGAGGCTATGTAGGATCCTTGCACCTTGGAGATAGGGAGGAAGGAGTCTTCAGACTGCAGATATGGGAGGGTTGGGGAGGTCCAGACGTAACACTGTCCAGTGCATGCGTATAGTAGGTTCACTGGAAGGAAATGATATTGTGATGTAATTGTTGATTAAGTAACTTTGATCATTAGGAGATCAGTTTAATTTGGTTTAATTAGTTTGAAATAGAATAAACATGTAGTATTGATAGAAACCTCAAACGGGAGTCACGTCAATTGATGTTTTAGGAGATCAGTTTAATTTGGTTTAATTAGTTTGAAATAGAATAAACATGTAGTATTGATAGAAACCTCAAACGGGAGTCACGTCAATTGATGTTTCTATCAGCTATTTTAAATATATCTCTGGACTTAAAAAAACAAATAAATGTTACCAAAAGAACTCAAGATCCATAATATACAAAATTTAGTTTAACAAAATCCATTCTATGATAACTATTTAAATATTGTTTTTAAAGTTTACCTTCGTTTTAAACTCAATTGTTTTAAAACTTTCCTCAGAATACAAAATTAATGATTTTCAGTGCATTTGTTTGGATATTGTCCATTTTTAAGTCCAAGATTATTATGAACAAATATGTTTATTGTCACTTTTTTGTAAATTTTAAAAGAAAACAAAAGATATTAAAAAACATAAAGTAAAGGAAAAAGCGATTTTTATATTTTGTAATAATGATTTACGTTGAAAATGCATTAATTATTAACGTCTACAAGGAAATAAAATTGTTATAACTCAAAATATAAAACAAATCGATATACAACCATAAACTAATCCTACTAATATTATAAATGAGAAAGTTTGGATGTATGGATGTATGTTTGTGACAAGTGAACGCGAAAAATACTGGTCGGATTGGGCTGAAATTTGGCATGATGATAGCTCATATTCCCGATTAACATATAGGCATATTCTTATTTCAAAAATCCTTTCGGGCTCCGCCCCAGTGGCTCTTGAGTTTCCCATGTTAACCTTATGAGAAATGGAATTATTGAATCTTAACAGCTGTTTCAATTAAACGAGTTGGTTCTGTTCTATGATGTTCACTAGCATTAAAGTTACAACAGGGTGCAGCACTATTATTTCTTTTACATTTATGACAACAGCTAATTTGCAACCAAAAGGTGAGTGAGCGTAGCGAACGAACTTCAACCTGGAGGCGAGTTAGCGTAGCGAACGAGCTAACCTGAAGGCAAGTGAGCGCAGCGAACGAGCTCCAACCTAAAGGTGAGTGAGCGTAGCGAACAAACTTCAACCAGGACGTGATTGAGCCATGTGAACGAGATAATCTTGAAAATTAAGAAGTTAAACGGGGCAAAGCCCGCGGGTTACAGCTAGTTTTATATATACTAAACTTTAGAGGCACAATACACATTATGTATTACGAAATGTTTAGTTGTAAAGGTAACTGCATGACAAATGCAAGAATTAAAATAAATCAAACTATTTGTTCCAAGACTTACACACGATAACGGAGTAATACAACAGTCCTCTCTGACAGCAACAGCTGGTTTTAGGCTCTCTGTCAGATGTGATGTACTTGTGTGTCACCTGGGTTGAGATGATGGGTTTGTGCATTGCACACAACTCCTCCTGAGCACTCCCCCTACACACAGAACATTACAGTCTACCATAGAGCTTTTAATGCGAAAACTAGCACTCTCATTCTCCATACTATCATAATTTTCATTAAACTAAGAAAACTAATATAAATATGATGCTTGGTGACATTTTCATGAAAACAGCTATAAATGTAAGACAAGAACTAGCTATCTCCAAAAGAACACATTTTTCAAGAAACAACATAACACAACAGTGTTCTTATATAAATACCTGATAATATCTAAATACAGGGTGATTATAAATTATTGTTACAATTTTTAAATTCCATACCTAAATGGAAAACTATACAACCTATCATCATCACGGGATGAGGATCAATTGAAAGAGGAGATTCTGAAGTTTTGTTTGACACCACTTTGGTAAATAGTTGCAAAATTAGGGTCTACAGATAATTTTAGATTTTAACTACGATATTGAACTAATTACTCAATTTAAAATCAATGAAACTCTAAAACACCAGATCACTTTTTGCTCTTTCGAAGTCAAGTTCGTCGTAGTTTACAATTATGGTGAACAACAATAACTGAGCGGTAAATCATAGAACCAATTGACCCCTAGTGGTATAATTAAAACTTCAATTCAACATGCAGAATAGCGTTTTTGAGATTCAGAGAGATAGAAGTGTATAAAAGCATAAAAACAACGATAAAAGTAAGTCGATAATGATTTATAATTGTAAAATAAATAATATGTTGTGCAGAATGAGTTTATTTAGATAAAAAATTTAAGACAAGTAACAAATTTGATACAATTACGAACTTTGATACTGTTACAATTTAGTTACGAAGAAAGGACAAATGAATGATGGATTTAGTCTTAGTCCATAACACAAATTCATTCTACATTTTTGTAAACATTTTGTAGAAAAAAGTTATAAAAACACATGTTGAATACAAATTAGAAATGAAATTAAAGGGGTTTTTTCATTATAAGCATAGCTGTTCTGTTCATCGGGATTTTAATTAACTGTCCTGGTCAAATAAAGTTATCGTAATCAGTAACTAAGTCTACAGAAACTCAATCCATTCTGCGCTCCCTCTTAATTCATATATAAACTGCTTAAAATAAGTTGTTAGATGGTGAGTTATGTCTCAAAAGTAGTGATAATGATGTAAATATAACTAAAGTTGATAATAATAAATCAGATTACAAACTCTTACCTTGCTGATCCCTGGCACATGTTTAAAGAACGTCTTGACTCCGAGTGCAATAGTAAGTATAATATTGAGCACGAGACTTATATATGTGCAGATTAAACCTAGATAACTTTATGAGAGATGAGAGTGTTAACCCACGACCTAGGTCTGGGTCTGTCCCAAACTGCTCTAGGTCAAGCTGAACGAGCTCATTTTGTCGATAAAGAACATAAGTCCTTTCATTTTAACATCCCCGAAACTGCAATATTGACTTACATGTATTTGGAGTGCAATACCTATGAACAGCTTCAAACGTAACAATAATATACGTGTAATATTTTATATCCAAATGAATAGCTTCATTACTATGGTCCACACATACGACTTGAACATATAAAACACGCCTTGTGACATGTGGTTAGGTAAACCAGTAACGAACCTATTCAAGCGGATTTAAATTTACTTCCTAGAACGAGGTGTTTAAAATTGGCATCCTATCGGGACATAATCCTTTTGCATTGAATACAAGTTTAGTTTTTGTTTTATTAGCAACTTTCTCCAATCTAGATAGTATTTAAAATGTAGGCGAGTTTGAGAACTCATTAGTCTGAGTAATGATTAGCCAATTTTTAACTAAAAAATGTTAGTGCGTTTTAAAGTGTTTCAAACATGGTTGATGAAAAGGATTAAAAGTGTGATTTGCCTCATCCAATCAAAATTATAACATGAATAAAATTAAAGAATATTAATTGCCCAAAAGTAGTTGTAAAGTTAAATAATATCAAGCCAAACAAAAAGGACAACAATAATTATTGGTAAGTTACCGTGAAAATTATCCATAAATCCAATCCTAAATATGTTATGATACAATATTTTGTATGTGTAATTGCTACAGCTAAATATATGAGAATATTTTAAAGAAACTAGTTTTAATTCACAATCTATGGCAGTTCAGTCACACAAACTTTGTCTGTAAATAATGTCGTATCTGTATTTTATGTATAACAGTAAAAACTATAAATTGTATTTATTCTTTGACTTAAAAATATATGCTATCCCTTTTTTTTAACTACCTAATTTAAAATTTTAAAACTTTCTATGAGTAAAATTTTCTTTTTATGTATTTTTAATTGTTATTAGTCTATTTATTTTTAAGTTAAATTTTTATTTTATTATTTTATTTTATTTTTATTTTTTTAAGTTCTGGGAAGAATAAGTTTACGTTTATACCCATGTGTTTGACATTATCCTCAATGAAAACTTAGATATTCAGCTACTAATAATACATATAGTAGTTGTTTAGTTAACTTTTAAAGCCTAGTATGAAAAAGGAAACTAAAAAAATCGTTATATACATGTTCATACTGTACAAGTATTAACGGGAAATTAAAATTAGTATCTTTAATCTCCTTAAAAATACCGCAGCTAGTATTTATTTATTCTTATATAGTGGTGAGGGTCTCCGGCATATAATAGTAATGTAATAAATAGTGTAGAACAAATAAACACATTTAGTGTGGTATTAATTTATTTATTTCATCTCAGTATTAGCTCATGAACATTCTTCAAATTATTCGTATGTATAAAAAAGATAAAGGGATAAATAGTTATGATAATTTTAAAAACATTGGCAAATATTATATAGGTTCTGGAACTAGTTCTTATTATGACGACTACGATACTAAATTATCCATTCGGAGTATATTCACTTAAAGATATCAATACAAATGTGTTGTAATTTGGTTTTTGAAAAAAAATTTGTCACTACTTAGACAATTAATAAAAAATAAAAACAGTTTAATCATTCGCCCGTTTTTTATTTGATTTTAGTTTTTCAAAATGACGAGCGAATATTTTCACCCCTTTTTTAACAAGATTTTTTACTTACATATCGTTTTGAAACACCATCCCTCTAGGTAGGGTGTCTTGGTCACAAATGCTGTCGTCTTCATAGTAGGCATTGCCCTGATGATAAGCCACCGCCATGACCCGTCCACCGCACGGACTTTTTGATAATGACACTAGCTAGGTGAGTTCTTGTGTCCTTCGGGAAACATTATAGATAAAGGCTTCAACTGCACTGCTTCCTCAATTATTTGTCGATTGTCTGTCGTACATTGTATGATACAGATAGAGGACAATTAGCTAGAGGTAGAAAATAAAAAGTTAAATTATCTACCAGAATGTTTTGGTAGTTTGGTAAAGTCTTTGTTAAGTTGGGGACCTAAGTACACGTTTCATGAGTTTTTTAGATAGTGTTTCAGAATGGAATCGTTATAAAATTAGCGTCCAAAACAATAAATGGACAAACAAAGCAAAACTTCACAAAAAAACCTGCAATTAAAGAAATAGAAAATAATTTTGAACGATTGAAAATAATTGTAATGATGCACAATAGTAGTTAGGACAATGTACTCCATGTTCTATTTAAAGTGAAAAAAAAACACGCAAGGGGTTAATTATTTACTACCAAAATATGGATGATTCTTATTTATTTAGCTACGTAGATTTAATTCAATGAATGGTGTTGTATATTTATATTATATTTATATAAATATACAAGTAATTAGTGCTCCAGTTTATTTTAATATTTTAAAGAGTACTTTATTCGTTAGTGCATAAGGTGGACAAGAAAAGTTTGGTAAAGCATTTAGTTTTTTATAAAAACGTTAAATTTAGAAAACTTTCATAAATTAAAATAAATATTCAAAGTTAAACTTTACCTTCATTTTTTCTGTGGACTAATCACATGGTTTTTTCACTGCACCATTTTAACTACACTATTCACTTAATAACTAATATTTGGCACTGTTCCTCGTGAATATTTAATGGAAGACAAAAAACTATTGTTTTGATTTAAAATTTTCAGTTGGTTTATTACAAAATAACACATTACAATATTTAAAAAAAATCTGACTAAAGTAGTTATTTCCTGTAGAGGACTGCATGAATAGATACAACTGGTTCAATAAACTGGTTTCAAGTCCAAGAAACAACTGACTGGAACTGTTGTTGTGCTCAAGGAGTGAGTGAGAGGGAAATACTGATTGATAAGGGGACTCTGGTGAATGACAATGCTGGAACTTCCAGTTGGACTATGAACATTCATTGTTATTGTTGATGTTAGCCTTTTAATATGTCAGTTTAAATAGAAGATTTTATTGATATTTTTGTTTTATTAATTTACTTGACTGCATTTTATATGAGACAGATGTATCATTTCTAACCAAATCATTAAAATTATAGACATTACTTGCCAATAGTTATACATAGAATAAAAAAATCTAAAGGTGCTTGCTAATTTATTATGAGTTACATTGGAACCTACAAATAGCCATGTACTTTGAAATTAAGGAAACTAAAAATGGGAAACCAAATATTATATTTAATAATTATAAATATAGGCAAAACTATGTGGCCAAAAATGGCGAAATCACTTGGCGATGCCTTGGAAGGAATTGCAACTCAACTATTAAGACTGATACAAATAAATCAGCAATCTTAGCATCAGTTAATAAACACACAGGCCCTCATCCAGTCACAATGAGGTCGCTTCTATCCCCAAAGACTTCAAGTGAAGAGTCCTCTACTCAGTCATCACCATGTGATAAATACCCTTTTGAAACATCAACACCAGCACAGTTGTGCACTCCTACAGCAGAGTCTTCTCTAAAGCAGCTTAATTATGCACATGACACTACTTCCCCTGCAGTAGTGGTACTACACGAAGAGAATAAGAGACTTAAAGAGCACAATGCAACTCTCGAGAAGCAACTTAAATGTGTTCTTGATCACTCCATCGAGTCTGACACCCGTTTATTGGAATTCACTGAAGAGATATTTCCCATCCCCGATTATTTACCTAAAACATATGCACCGCAAATGATAGAATGTGCGGTCCAGTGTGAACCTCAGACAGCTACTTCTTCTACATCCACCTGTGATCTGGCTCAACCTACACAGGCTGATGTTAAAACTATTCAATCTTTGGAGACCAAAACAGATGTTGCATGCAATAATAAATCATTAATTATGTCAGAATTATTAGGAGAATCATGGATATCAGATTTGACCCTCCAGCCCTACTTGGATACGTTAAACAATCAAATTTTGGCTTCAACATCTTGCGTGATAATTAATCCATTGGTAGTTCACGCTATTAAAAACTCACCAGATTTCCACTGTTTCCTGGACCCTCTCGCTGTGAAAGACAAGAAATTAATTATCATGCCCATAAACGATTCTGTAGATTTGTGTGGAGTGGTTAGCGGAACTCATTGGAGCGTGTTAATCTTAGAAAGAACTGGAAATGAATTTTTGTACTTTGATTCTCTCAACGACTCTAACCTCAGTTCTGCAAAAAAAGTCGCCCAAAGGTTATCCGACTATCTGGGTGGGGAGGTATCTTCAGCATGTTTTAGATCACTGAATGGACCACAGCAGCCTAACAGTTTTGATTGTGGCATCTACTGCTGTTGGATTATTGAGTCGCTGGTACAGGATGTTGTTACTTCTGGTTCATTGAATATTAACTATATACAAAATAAAAAACTATCAGAACAGGAAGTTATACTAAAGCGCTCACTTTTGGCTTACTTCATACAAAACTTACCAACTCTAAACAAAAAATTGTTCTACTCCCTCATGATTGAAAAGGAGGGAAAATTGTATGTTTCTGCCACTGGAACTAACAGTAAGGAAATTGTAACTGCTAAATCTATAGGATGGACCGAAGTAAAGTCTAAATCAAAGAATCTGAAATTCACCAACAGGGATCCTATTGTTACAACAAACAAATTTGAGGTATTACAGAATCTCAAAAAATCTGATGTGACCCATAATAGTCAAAAACTGGCGCTGTCTATGTCCAAGGACCCTCAAGTTAATCAATCAAACTTGAGCATCAAGAACCCTACTAAAAAGTTGAAAAAAACAACAAAAAGGACCAACGGACGGATTTTAATTCTTGCTGATAGCCATGGTAGACATCTTAGGTCAAACATAACAAAGATATGGCAGGATAATGAATATGACATTGACTGTTTATTTAAGCCAAATGCAACAATGGAAAATGTAATAAAGGATGTAAAAGGCCTTACAAGTTCATTTTCAAAAGCTGACACACTTATTGTGCTGGGGGGATCCAACAATGTAATAGAACACTCAGAGAAGAGGTATTGTGAAACCGTTAAATGGCTGATGGAGAGCACTAAACACACTAATGTAGTGGTATCAGCACTCCCTTACCGACATCACACTCCTGGTCTAAATAATAGAATATATTACATAAACATGGACATTGAAGCACTTGTGTCAGAGTATAACCATGCTACCTTTTTGGCTATAAATAAACTATCTCGTCAGTTTTATACACAACATGGACTACACTTTAACAAACAAGGAAAAATACAAATATCCAAAATGATTAGAGAAATATTTGTTCCAATGATTAAAACTGTTGCTGGATCTAAAGAACAAACACAGTCTACTTGCATAAAAAACAATACCATTAATGTCATCGAAGCTAACATGTGGGAAATGATTAATGCTAACAAAAAAGCCCCTACCACAGCATTTGCGCATACCATATCAAGAGATATCCAACACTACAGAAACATGTCTGCTGGTGTAGCGGTTGTGTTTCGTAAGATATTTTGTAGACCTAAGGACACAGACTTCATCAACACAAGATTGACTTGCCAGACTGAATCAGGGGGTGCCACAGTATACAGTCTTGTCTCAAAGGAAGAATATAGAGGAAAGCCAACACTACCAACGTATGATGAGGCGTTTGAACAATTGATCAAGGATTTTAAAGTAAAGAAATTCGATACTTTAATATGTTCTCCAATGGGCTGTGTGCGTGACTTAGTACCTCTCAACCACTTTGCAAAAAATATTGTAAAGCTGCACAAAATGACTAATGCTACGATATATGTGGTGTCATGTGATCAACCAGCTGCTCAGCGAAAATTATGGAATGGGCTATCACATACTGCATTTTTGGATCAGCTAAGGAGGACAATTGACAGTTGCTCTTGTAAAATTGATGCCCCAAATAGTGTAACTGATGCTTGCAACAACCCGCCTGTTTCATCTTCGGAGAATCTGCAGCAGTCTTTGGAAATCTCACAGGGCTCTGGTAACGAAACAAACACAACTAAGATAGTTTCGTCTGATTGCAAAGCACCTGGAGATGACGGCCAACTTACACGCCAGATGTCAACACATGGTGAAGATCTGAACGACTCAGCCAGTGAGTCATTACTGCCCCTGGACCTTGAAGCTACTCAGATTGAGGAGTCATCAGAGAAACCAATGTCGCCACCTCGAGATACTACACCAGAACAAATCCAACCACCTTCGGAGACATCAGTCTGTGAAAGTGTTAAAATAGTGTCGGGCGCTCTCACTTCTAGTGAAGCGCTAAAGCAGAGAAATTGTGATGGAAATTCAAGTCCAATTTTAAATGTAAAAAATTTAGTTAAGAATCACTGTTCCTCCAATAACCCTAGTTCATGTGAATCAATTAATATCTCCATGGAGGTTGGTTGTTTTTTAGAGGAAACCCACCTTCAAAACTTAAGCTTGCAAAGCAAATGCCCCCACTAAGTGACCCTAAAAAAATTAAAAACTTTTGTGTTGTATGTAATAATTTTCATGACTTTTTAAATGATGCTAATGCTTATAATACTAAAGGCTCATGGCCAGTCTGTAAATCAGCTAAATTTGAAAAGAGATTTTTGTGGTTAATGCACCTTAACATTGAGGGTGGGTTGATAAGTAAAAAAAATGATCTTGAGATAATCTTAGAAAATTCAAATATTCCTATTGTGTGTTTGAACGAGCATTGGCTTAAGAGTGTAGATATAAATATTTTAAATAGTATCCCAAATTATACAATTGCCCATTTTTATTGTAGGGAAGAAGGTAGCCATGGTGGTTCCTGCATCTTAATAAAAGATAGTTTAGAGTACACTATAAGAGATGAT